GTAAAACTTATTATAGATGACCAAATTTTTTCTTCGAATACGAAATTAAATTATAATACACACAAAAAAATAGTTTAAATTTTTTTTCTCTTTAAACTAAGGAATGAAAGAAAAAACAAAATAAGAATAAGAAACTCAAATAATTATAATAAAAGAAGTCAAAAAATAATTTCTGTATGAAAAAAATTAAAATATACCTTGAACTTTGATAAAAGAATCATATATACCCCTAAATAATTTTTTAAAAAAAATTAAAAGTAACAAATATAAATTTAAAACTAATTTTTTAATTTCCGTTAAATAAAGGGTATATGTGACATTTTGTAACGGCAGGGGTATATGTGAGTCGTTTGTATAACGGTAAGGGCATATATGAGCCACTTTTATAACGAGGGGTATATCAGCTCTAAATGACAAAGTTGAGGGGTATATCAGACTCTTTTTCCCTTTAATATTAAATACCATAAAATACGTATGTATCGTGAGCAAAAGAAACTCTCTTTAAGTATTTCAATGTTAATAATAACAAGACAATGACCGTGATTGATTAACGGACTTTTTTTTATAAATATTTTGAGATTTTGTTATTCATATCTATCACTAAAGAATTTAATCAATTTATCTAGTCTTGAAAATACTTTAGATGGAGCATAGTTAAATATTAAGTTCTCTCTTGTTTTATTTATTTGTTTTGTTATTTTATACTTTGTTTGGATCATTGTTATCCATTGTTTCATGATTTATTTGTATTGTATTGTACTCTGTTATATTGTATTGTGTGGTAGATACAATGTTTGGCTAGACTGCATTGTTTGTTGTTGTTTAATAACATTTAATTGTTTGGTTTGATTGTATCGTACTGTATTGTAATTTATATATTTACAAAAATATCCTTAATTATCCTTGGGTAGGAGGTTTGACTAAATTTAAATAATTAAGATAAAAGGTAAAAAAGTATTTTGAAATATTATATAAAGATATAATTGGAAAAAGAAATTAAGTAAAAATGGGAACACACCAAATTGGTTGTTCCATAAAATAGGGATTTTCATTGTTATGTAACAACGAAATTTAATAATATAGTACAATACATTTTAAATAACAATCAAAACAAACATTGTACGTATAATAAAGATACAATACAATATAATAAATAACAATGATCCAAACATAGTTTTAGTATATTTAAAATAAATATTTTTTTCATTTTAGACAACGTTTTAGTTCTAACTTTTAATGCTTATATCTGAGATTACGAAATGCAATTTTATTTTTTACTTTCTTAAATTTGCCCCAACTCAAAATTGAATTAAAATGAGGAGGTATATCTTTAATTCATATATTGTGCTTTTCTTTTTAATTTGTTACGAAAAAATGAATTACTTTGACTGTTAACTCTTTTTAAGATGATTTATAGCCCTATAAATACGTAACTTATTTTATTTTATATTTAATATACTTATCTTTCTTTTTTATTTTTATACTTTGTTTAATATCACCACATAATAATAAATAGAATTGAGTGAGTAATTTTTATCTGACATGATAAAACATTTGAACTGGTCATTTAATTTTTTTAATATATCTGCAACCAAAAGATGTGCATTTCTGCATTATATAATAATTTGGTATAGGAAAACTGAAACAGCCAATCCAAACAAATAATTAAAAATTTAAACGCAGAATTAAATGATATATTTTCTATTTTAAGCAAATTTAAACCAAAGATCATATGTTTAACTAGATTACTCTTACCATCAAAGATATAATGTTATGGATAGAGATTGTTATTTATTTTAATCAAAAGGTTTTGAATTCGAATCATGAAGATCTATCTTTAATATAGAATAGGAATAAAAATAATTATATCAAAAATCACAAATCACGTCAAATCAATAAAAAAGATTTCAACTATTGATTTAATTTGATTAGGTAATGGTAAAAAATTTGACTATACGTGAGTTGGTTTGATACTTTGGTTCTAACTTAGCCAATCAATTTAAGACCAAATCAAACCCGACAATATATATATATATATATTAATTTTTAAAATTTATTTTATACATACAATATTTGAGTTAATATCTTAAAAGATCACTCAACTTCAGGAATTGATCTAGCAAAGTCATTAAAATTTGTTTTGTATCAAAAAAATCACCCAACTTAAATTTTTATATCAATAAAATAACTCAACTTTAGGAATTGATCTAACAAAGTCATTAAAGTTTGTTGGGTATCAAAAAAATCACTCAACTTAAATTTTATATCAATAAAATCACTCAACTTAGACATTTGTGTTAGTAAAATCATTAAATAAAACTTGTCATTATTTTTGTTTGTTTCATATAAAATAGACCCTACAAATAAGTAAAATTAAGAAAACTAATTTAATTTTAAAAAATTAAATTAATTTTCTTAATTTTATTTATTTGTAGGATCTATTTTATATGAAATAAACAAAAATAATGATAAATTTTGTTTAACGATTTTACTAACACAATTGTCTGAGTTGAGTGATTTTATTGATATAAAAATCTAAGTTGAATGATTTTTTTTTATAGAAAACAAACTTTAATAATTTTGCTAGATCAATTCCTAAGTTGAGTGATCTTTTAAGATATTAACTCTAAAATATTTACTTTGATAAAAATTTATATGTTTCTATGAATACCTTATCAGAATAATTCAAAAACTTAAGAAATTCAAAAAGTTCAACGAAATTCAAGTTTTATTAATTTAATTTATAAATTTAAAAACTCGATAAAAAAACTTAATTTAGTATTGAAAAACTCAAACCAACCTAGCTATTCCATGTGTACTCCTTATAGGAAGTACTTCTCCCTAAATGACATTCTATATAATACAAATTCAAATTAATTTGAATCTAATATAAATATCGACTATCAAACGAAACGAAATAGGAATGTTAGATGATTGCACGCGCAAGAAGGGAGAGTTGAATATATATTCTTAGTTAGGCATAAACTTTTGGTAGTGTCCACATGAATTGCCCCTCGTTTCCTTTTTATAATTATTTTGGATTTATGTAATTCCCACTATCGAGCCCCCAATAAAAGTTACTAGTCTATTTTCTTTTATTTGTTGTTTTTAATAAATTAAAAGAAAAAAATTAATTTTATTAATAAAAATAAAATAATTATATTAATCATATATTATTTTTTCTTAATAAATATATGTAAGTCAAAATTGGTCGAATAATTAGAAACGGAATAGTAACCTCACGAGTGCCGATGTAAGCAGATGCCTCGTGGTAGCACCGTATGACACACACACCAACCCCACGCATTTGACAATTGTCTTTAGTCAAACCCTACCCCCACCCTCTTGTAAAAGCCAATGTTGTCTAATTGGAATTTAGTAGTTTAGTTGGATTCAACTTTTTAAAATTTGTAAAAAGTGATAAAGGTGGGAAATGACAATTTGTATTTGTTAAGCCATTTGATTTTTTTTAAAAAAAATTATTATTATGAGTTTTAACTTTTCCATACAAATAATATTAGAGGAGACAACAAGTATTGACAAGGATAGAGGAGATGTACATATGTCTTAGTGAGAAAGTAGAAGATGTTGGCTATGACAAGTATGAGAAGATATAGAGTAGGCGGAAGACATATTAGAGAAAAGGGTATAATACTTTTATAGCTTTTTGAGGACACGGTGTTGTTGGAATCAAAATAAGCAGGTGTAATGTGGAAGCTAGCAAAACAAATTTCGAAAGATTATGAGTAAAAAGATAAAAGAGAAACACACCAACGGACACAAAGATTTAGCGAGGTTTGGTCAATCGACATACGTCCACAAAGGAGATGAACAATTCACTATAAATATGAAAGTACCAAAAGAAACAATCTCAATCAATTCACTCAGAATACATGGAAGGTTCACACAAGCGATAATGTATCAAGCTTGTGACCCGCAAATTCTCCCCCAAACCAAAACTCTCAAAGCCTATAAGACTACATTGTGAATGCTGATTAAGTTAGAAGAAACATGTCTCTATTTATATAGTCCTAAATTATTTTTTAGGATATTTTATTTTTAACATTCTTTAAAAATTAGTCATCAAAAACCAGCTAAAAATACACGCATACAACACTCTCTTTCTCTCTCTCTATATGATCCCATCCCACCCATTTTACATCCCCTCACTCTTTACCTCAAAAAAGTCAGCGCCTTCTTTTGTCTTCTTCTTCTCTCTAAAAAAAGAAAAGAAAAAGTCAAGGATAAAGCAGAGCAAAAACAGAGAGAGACTATGGAAGAAGATTGGGATCTAAACGCCGTCGTCAGAAGCTGCACCGCCACCACAACCGCCGGCGACATCAGTTTTACCAACTTCCAACCAAGAACAACAGATGATGATAATAACAGTAACAATAACTCTGTATTTTGCTTTGAAGATCTGGTTCTCAAACAGAGCCTAGTATTGAATAGAAATAAAATTAGTGATGATTTCGAAGAATTGCATCAACTTTGCAAGCCATTTATTAATCAACCATCCGAAAAATTAACGGTCATTTCATCACAATCACCGTCGCAACAGCTTACTGATACGAAATCAATTCAACCCAACAGAACTTTATCATGTAATTTACATGCTCAAAGTCAAACAATCAAAAGAAGGTAAATTATAATCACTATTACTTTTTACACAACAGATCTACAATTTATGGATATTCATTTGAATTAATATCGTAAAAACAATATTATTTATGTGTTTATATTTACTACTGTAAACATATAAATTTATGATCTGTACATAAACCTTATGAAATCAAGCTACGTTCACTTTTTATTATATGGTGAAAATTCTTATATAGTGAGAAAATTTGATGTTTTTTTTTTGTTGGATGATTTTAATTTGTTTGGGTTGAGGATAAAAGATGCAACAATTTTTTTAAAATTTTCAATTTTTACACCTCAATGTTATTTTTTTTTAATTTACTTGATGGATTTTATTTTTATTATTTACAGGAAGAACCATTTAAAGAAAGTATGTCAAGTAGCTGCTGATGGTTTATCTTCTGATATGTGGTCTTGGAGAAAATATGGACAAAAACCTATTAAAGGTTCCCCATACCCAAGGTATTATTATTGGTTTCTTTTACAACTATTTCCCTCTAATTTTAACTGACATATTTTTAATTTTTTAAAGTCAAATTATAAAAAAATTAACTAATATTTTATTATATATATTTTTATTTTATTTAAAGTATCAAATTAATATAAATTTTCAAAAGTAATTAAATTAACTTTTGAAAACTAACTAATAAAGTGAAGGAAATTAAATGAGTACATATTTGGTTGTTTCCAACAAATTTTTTCATTGTTTAAAAAAAAAAAGAACAAGAATAAACTCAACTCAATATATTGAAAATTTTCTTGTTCACTAGAAAAATTTGACTCTTACTATATATAATTCGGAGGATATAATCGAAATAAAAGAATCTATTATACATTATCTTAATTGTATTTTGTGAAATTTCGATGGATATTTATGAAATCAAAATAAAAGAATCTATTATACACTATCTTAGTTGTATTTTGTGAAATTTCGATGGATATTTATGGACATTTATTTTGATTATAAACAGGGGATATTACAAATGTAGCACTTCAAAAGGTTGTTTGGCCCGAAAACAAGTGGAGCGGAATAGATCCGACCCGAATATGTTTATTGTCACTTATACAGCTGAGCACAACCATCCAATGCCTACTCACAGAAATTCCTTAGCCGGAATCAGCCGCCAAAAAACGGTGAAACCCACCGGATCGTCGCCGGTATCTTCGCCGGTGACAAATTCACCGGCACCGGAAAATCAAGAAAGCAGCAGAGACGAAAAAGAAGATACTTTTGAAGATGACGATGATGAATTTGGTGTTTCCGATGTTGGGTTGGATAAAATGGAACCGGAAGATGATTTCTTCGACGGTTTGGATGAATTGGAAATCCCGGCCACCGGAGATATCTCGCCGGAGAATTTTCCGGCGAATTTTCAGTTCCCTTGGCTGGCGAATAACGCAGCAACTACGGCGGCAGGCGGTCGTTGATTGCTCTACTACTGATAAAGGACACGTGGCAGATTTTTTTTTTTTAAAATGATGCTTTTTTTTATTCTTTTTAGTTTTGTAGTATTTTTCATTATTTTTTTTGTACGTTAGAGATTGGAAGATAGAAAAGAAAAAAGAGAATGTTGAAGTGAGAAACTTTATTGAATTTGTAGATGTAAAGTATAATTCCATTCCCTTATATTATTATAGAGAAAGAGATCATAGGCATATAGAGAAAAGGTAACAAAGTGTTTTGATTGATTCATTCTTTCTTTTTTTAAAGTTTTCTTTTTAGAATTATATGGATATATAAATTCTAGAGAATATTGAAAAACAATCTGAAATTTGACGTGAATTATTGATAACTGAATTAAAAATACATGTTAGATCTATCATATGACATAATAAGTAGTTTTAAACTTTTGTAATAGCGTCAAACTCTTAATAAAAAGCCAGAAAGAGAAGTGTTGATATTTAGCGGTCGGTGTATTTCATTCATATGACAAGATCAGGGATGTATTTTAGTTTAGTTAGACAAGTAGAGAGATATCTTTAAGTTTGTTAATAGTTTGAAGATGAAACTAATAATTCGCGTAAAATTTAAAAGTGTTTTCAATATATTTCTCTGTTTCATTAATTTTTAGATAAAATTTAACTTGAATGTGGTTTAATATGATTGATTGACTGACGGGAACTATGTGCTACTTATATTACATTCTCCTTTTAAGCTGATTTTTAAAATGTGACTCAGATCGAAGAAATAATTTGGTATGATATTTAAGTTATACCTCATTTAATATAAATTTTTAACTTTTTATGTCTCACATAATTACAAGGTAGAAATACTTCATGTATGTGTACGCACTAGATTAAGAAATGTTTAAATTTGTAATTGAAATGAATCCCACAAAGCAAAATTTTTTGGGGAGATTTCTAGTTAGCCAAAAGGAATATTGCAAAATTTACTTTAACAAATTACTTGAAGCGTCAATTTTATTCTTCCAAGTGAATGAGATACCATGTAACAATAACAATTTATAGCAAATTTTATAATTTTAGAAATGTCTCTTCAATTTAGAAATGGATTTAAGATATTAATTTGATAAATTTCATATTTATAATTTTAATCACTAACTTAGCATTTATTTCTCATTTTTTGTATTTATACTTTGCATAAAAAAATGAGTATCAAATATAATTGAATTAATTTGAACCACATTTAACCTGCCTCCATATAAGGTAAAACCAAGTGAGTGGCATATATCTATTCTTAAAAAAGAATGATTCCAAGAGAGAATATCTTGAGCACAACAAATATTTCAAACTTTTAAAACTGTCTAACCATGGAAGAATAAACATATTCATGATCAACAAATGAGCAGTAGAATACTGTTGTAATACAATAAAGTGATAAATATTTTTTTAAAAGATATAAAATGAGTTTGATATTTTTCATACTTCAATTTATATAACACATTTTTTTAATCAATTCAAACAAACACATTTCTTAATACTTGTCATCTTACTAAAAATAGATGATGCATAATACTCCATCCGTCCCATAAACCAAACATCATAACAATTTTCAATTCTATTGTATACAACACGTTAAATTCATTGGATTATTTGTTTTATTGATTAAGCCAAGGGATATTATCCTTTTTTTTTTTCATTTAATCATTGATAATTGAAATATTTCGTAAAGCATATTCAATCGGAAATTAAATTAAAATATGCGTTTTGCTCCTTTTACCTAAGGGCAAAGGACAGAAATCACACACTTTTAAGACAAAATTACAATTTGTCCTTTATAAGTATATAATTACAAAAATCCCTCAAATGATGCAATAATATAACTTTTGATACATTAATCTGACGTGCGAGATACATTAATCGTTAAGTACGATACATTACATTTTATATCTAATACACTAATCTGATGTACATTTTATACAAAATACATTAATCTGATGCGTGATATACATTAATTGATGCGCGATATATATTAATTTAATGCGCGAGATACATTAATTTGATGTGCTGATACGTTAATTTGATGTGTGAAAATGATGGATTTTGGAAATTTATAAAACTAATATGGGATAATAGTAATAAGAGAACTTAAATGTGAGATTTCTGTCATTTATCGATATAATATATCTCTATAATTTTTTTTAGAAATATATATATTTATCATCCAACATATAACGTAATAATACAAATTAATACAACGCATGAGTAATTAAAGCATAAATGGATAGCCGGCCGTGGATTTAGTTAATCCATCTTGTCATAACAAGAAATCCAATCTAATTTTTTTCACATCATATAACTAGCTGAATATATCGATTGACAGAAATTCAAGTCTATCTTATCTTATATATCGACAATCTCATTGTTTCCTTCAAAAGTAAATCGAAACTCAAATCTAAAATATTTATTTGAGAAGGATGGATTACGTAGACAAGGCAAAGAATTACGTATCAGAGAAGGTGGCGGAGATGGAGAAGCCAGAAGCAACGGTTATGGAGGTGGATGTGAAGAATATTAACTTTGATAGCATTTCATATCATGCTAAAGTTTCTGTTACAAATCCTTACAATGTTCCAATTCCTATCATGGAGATTGCTTATGTTGTCAAATGTGGGGGCAGCAGGTACAAAAACTAAAATTACTATATGGTATAATACGATACGTTAAATGATAGGTCCATTATGAACATCGATCTTTAGGTCTTGTGCTATTAATTGTAAGGGATGTTTATGATTCGATTTGAGTTCGTAAGGGAAACTAAAATCATCTAAATTTATTTTGAAACAAATTACTTGAGTTGTTCTTTTTGAGTTATATATGTGCAATTATGATTTAAATTAGGTATTTACATAGTTAAGTTGGTTCGATTTTTTCAATATTATTTTTGTTTGATATCATATCTAAGCTAAATTTTGTTCGATTTTTCAAATTCAAAATAAAAACAAACTAAACAATAAAAAAATATGTGGTCTTGATCGATTTTTCGGTTTTTGGTGAATAGGGCCCTTATTTAGTGAGTCTACGCCCAAACTTAAGGAACTATTTTAGGTTTTTTCTCTCACAAATTGATGGCTTCAAAGAAATTATTAAGACGTTAAAATCTCGTGGAAGCCTTCTAATAACAATAATAACAATACATAATTATAACTATTACGATATACCTAGTGTAAAAGTAGAACATATAAAAATCATAATTGAACTTTTGTGGGGGATAAAAAGTCAAATCTGGCTCAACTACATATTTCTAAGTAACATAATAGAAAAACAATATAGAAAAGATAGGTTTGTAAAGTTCATTTGGCTTTTAGGGTAAATTTCACTACTATCAACCAATAACTTTGATTCTGCCGCACAAAATTCACTTTTCTATATTAACTTATTTTACATAAAAGTCACCCAAATTATAAAGTTCATCACACAAAATTCATTTTTCTTATTGACTGCTCTACTTTAAATTGAATTCCAGGATAGTAGCTACAGGTACAATTCCAGACCCTGGCTCATTGAAGGCGAAAACCACAACCCTAGTAGACGTGCCAGCAAAGGTTCCACACAGCGCGATCTTGAGCTTAGTGAGGGATATTGCAACAGATTGGGACATAGATTATACACTTGAATTGAGTTTTATTATTGATCTTCCTGTATTTGGTAATTTCACCATTCCCCTTACTTATAGTGGCGAATACAAACTTCCTACATTGTCTGATTTTTGGCGAGGTGACGGGGAAGAAGAGAAAGAAGAGAAAGAAAAGAAAGAAGAAAAAGAAGAAAAAGAAGAGAAAGAAAAGAAAGAGAAGAAAGAAGAGAAAGAAAAGTAACAAACTTATTGTATTGTGACTTTGAACATTATTTTAAGAAAAATTAGCTATGAAATTCGTCGGTTAAAATGTTTGTAACTAGTATAAGTTTTTGATAATTCGTTGCTAAATAGGAATAGTGATGAATTTTTCTATGTAGCTATAAAAAACTTATTATCGCTAATTCCTGTTTTTTTTTTAGTAATGATAAGTCTTGAAAGACAATTAATTAGATTTGTATATTTGATATTTTCCTTCTACTTTATATTTGGCAAGAATATTATCTTGAAAATTCTTACGAAAAATACTTCAATATAAACATTTGTATTGAAGTCACCAAAACATGTATTTTACCACTAACTCTTGTAAAAAATTCTCATAGTTTGAGGCGTGTCGAAAGACATTGTCCTTTAGGATATTTCACCTGATATAGATGTATCTCCCATGATTCAACAAACAAGCACTTCTAGTATAAAATTGGGAGCCAGAGACTAACAAAGATTCAATAAAAAAAAAACTCAATATAAGAATATATGAAAAGAAAAATTGTTATCTTGTCTTCACTCTTACTCACCATCAGTAAGAAATAGATTTATATAGGAAATTAGTAACCTCTCTAATATGTTAATGGTTGAAATAGTTTAAGGTGATAAAAGACATTAAACACAATTAATGAATTGAAGGCAATTTGTTTCATCAAAGAGACGTTTTGTAACAACCATATTTTGACAGAAAATAATGACTTATTAAAGGATAATAATAATGATAACATAATATTATTTATGGAGAGAAAATACTTAGGACATAAAATAATACTTACTCCGTTTCATAAAGAATGAGTTGATTTGACTTGGCACGGAGTTTAAGAGTATAAAAAAGACTTTTATATCTCGTCCTAAATTAAAGTTAGGTTAAGAGTCTGTTTGGCTCAGCTTAAAAGCTGGTTTTTGACTTATTTAGCTGTTTTGCAATACTCAAAGTAACTTATTTTAAGTTTAAAAAAACTTATTTTAAGCCAAAAGTTAAAAGCTGGGGTAGGGGTGCTTTTTTTCCCCAACTTATAAGTTGTTTTAAGTTGACCACATTTTTATCTTTTTACCCTTAATATTTTTATACAATCTCCAAATTACCCACATAACCTAACATCTCTTTCTTCTATTTT